TTGCACATGGGGTACCAGCGCCTTTCTTGCAACTCGGGACAGTAATTGATTCGCCCCAAGATGAAGGCACTTTCTCTTCATGCCAGATTTTCGCGAACAGCGAGGTCAGCTGGTTAATGATCGCCACGCTGCCGTACTTGAACCGCCCCGGGGGAAGTCCGTCTGAGCCGGCAGCTTTGAAACGCTTTAAGTGTCGAATCTCCAGGCACACTTCCGCTTTGCTGGGTGGATTCAGTGGGACAAACCAGAGTGGGCAACAATGTACTGCGTTTACTGATGGATGGTGGAAGCCAGTTGAACTGCGAGTGAAACTGCTCGGCCCAGCGGTCCATACGCCTCTGTTGGTTGGTGGTCGGAGACTCATCCACCTCGCAAATGACCTCACTGACAGCAGGCTTCCTGAGACCAGTGGACCAAATGCGTTGGGAAAGTTTGCGAGTGGTGCCAAAGAGTGCAGCGGTCTCCATTTCTAAAGCACGCAGACCACCATGTCTCGCGATACTTGCGTAAGCTTTGCTTGAGCAGCCGGTTGACAGAATGGCGCCGCTCGTCGCAAGCTGATTCCGCTGGGATATCTTTGCAGCTTTCGAACAAATCCAGAGAACGAGCAGAGATCCAAGACTTTAAGTGGCTTCGAGCTAGGCCGCAGCTGGACTGTCCGGAAATGGTCATCACTTTCTGTATACGAGTCCATTGTTGCTCCACGTCTTGCGGAGGATTGCAACAGAGTGCGTATGCCAGTGAAGACTGATAGTTGGCCTGGACAGAGGAATCAGTTAATCTGTTTACATCAATCTTGCGTTGCTTCGTTTATCAGGATCCTCCAGAACACACAGTTTTTCGCACAGACCAGAACATGATCTGAGTCAACGAAGGTGAACCAAAAGGACCTGCAGTCTAGTACGCTGCAGCGCCATCTGAAGCTAATTGCAATGTGATCAATTTGAGACCACGGATGTGTTGGTGAAGGGGGACGCCACGTTGCCGATCTCTACTTCGCACGCCGGAGGTTAGTGTTCGAGAGAAACAGATGGTTTTCTTCGCACAATGCCACCAAGGTGGCATTCGTATGGTAACAGGCGGCAAACCGTGCATTAAAATCTCCAGCAAGGACGCATTCGACTTTTTAGCATTAGTCAAGAGCTGATGTAGATCCCAGTAGAATTCGTCCTTGACCGAGTCGTCGTCAGTTGGAGCGTACACGGAGATCACAAATAAATTGCTTCTCTCTTGACGGTGCTTGTTGATTCTGCATGAACCCCGAAGCCGAACTGCACAAATCGGCGGTTAATCGGGAACCAGTCCAGTAGTGCTGCCTCGGCTTTGCCACTTAGTGCTATACCTACACCAGCCGAACCCGGTGGATCTCCAGAAAGACGCAGGTGATATCTGGCTTCGTGGTCATTATTGATCTTGCTGGGATCTTGCAATCGGATTTCTAAAAGGCAGCAGACAATGTCAGGGAATCTAGGGTGCAAGCTAGGCCGGCTTGCTGTCCAATCTGCATGAGTGTCCGAACGTTGAAGCACGCCAGACGGAACGAGGATTGGAGACGAAGGAGAGCCATAGGTTGAACTCCGTGGTTCGCGGCGCAACCGGGATCTCAACCAGATTGTTGAACACATGAATCGGGTAACGGAAAGTAAGGACTGTTGGCAAACAAACAATTGGCGCGTGATGAAATAGCTTGCAAGTGAGAAGCAGAGAAGGTAGCTGATGAGCACCTTGGTTTTGTGAGAGGGCGTAATACTACCCGGGTACCCGAGCCGAAGTAGGGAGTTGACTTAGGGGACCCCAGCCCGAGGCTTTGGCTAAGTAACCTACCCGCAAGGCAGTGGGGTGAATTCAGGGAATGGCGCCCATTGGAAGGTGCTGACTGAACATTCAGTTCATGCGTCTTTCGTTTGGTAGATCACCAAACAGGGACCCAATACTCCTCATGAAATTAGCACATTTGCTTTACTACAATGCCCTACCGAGGTGGAACATTGTCGCTAAATACTTTGCTGGAATGGGGTACGCCCGAACCACCCAGCTGGCACCACAAGGAATTAGTTCGGCAGACCAGCCTTTTTCACTATTACTGTTTCGCTTGTCTTGTGGGACCTTTCTGGAACTCGCTACCTGGTTCCATTGTCCTCGCCGAATCTGTTCAGAGTTTCAAAAAACTAGTCGACCAGCATTTTGATAGCCTGCTTTGTGACGCAGATGCCATCGACCTGTCATCACTTGGGTACATCAGGGCTGCACTAACGGTTTTGAATGAAATAATAATAATAAGTGATATGTCAGCTGTACACCGCAACGACACTTCGCTGCGTCGCGACCACCACCAGTCGCGCGCGGGCTGAATATACCGCGAGGATGCGCACCCCTACGCGCATTCGAACCCGCGCCGCAAGAGTACGAGACAAGCTCGTTACCTCTAGGCCATGAGCCGACGATCTTGAATGCTTCAGACAGTCAGCTCCGTAGCATGTTTTCGTTTTTATTAATCCGTATTTTCTGTGTGACGAACTAAACTGATCGTCGGTGACCTAAACCTTCCGCATGCTGATTGGCAGCATGCTGAAAACAGAGTGGGTACTTTAGAGAAGGAACTAGTAGATTGGATGCACGTAAATGCCTTCGAGCAATACGTCAATGTCCCGACTAGAAGTCGTACTGGGAGTACCCCTTCAACGCTTGATATCGTGATCGCCAGACATGGTCACTTAACTGACCTATGCGTGGAGCCACCCATAGGTAAGAGTGATCATTGTGTTTTGACCTTTTCCCTGGACACACCGAGGCTTGCAGAGAACCGTCGAATGGGAAGAGATTTAAATCGGATTGATTTTACGAAATTGCGGGATCGAGCCCTTCAAATCAATTGGGTCCCTGAACAGAACAAGGCCACTTTGGGACAGAGGTGGCTTCTACTTAAAGGTGGACTTGTACAGTTGCTGAATGAATTTGCTCCTCTTCGCCCTAGGAGACATCTTGGGAAACCCCGATGGTGGAGAAGAAAAATTGATAGAGCGATAAAGAGGCGCAATGCTGAGTGGGGAAAATATCAAGAAATCCGGGGCTTTCGACGCTGGCTGCAGTACAAAAGGTGTCGAAACATGGCTATTAAGCTACAGCGGCAGGCGAAGTACTCATATGAGCTTAGGTTGGCTAAAATTGCGAAAACTAATCTCAAGTGTTATTACAGTTATGTCCAGACAAAGGCTTCCTTAAGAGAGGTGGTCGGCTGTCTAACCATGGAGGACGGTACCCAGGCTGTAGACGACGTCGATAAAGTAGAAGTGCTGCTACGTGTCTACCAAAGCCTGCATCGGAAGGATAGTGGGTCAGCCTTGCCATCACTACCGCACTGCTCAACTAGCTACACAATGCGGGAAATTATTCTCAATGTGTCAGGTCTTCACAGTGCTGGCCAATTTGAACCCTTATAAATCAGCCGGTCCTGATAGCTTACATCCCGCCATGGTTAAGCCTCTGGCTGATATCCTCAAGTATCCCGTAGTGGAGTTATTCAACCAGTCTCTTCAAGAAGGCAAGCTGCCACGTGATTGGAAGGAGGCGACTATTGTTGCCATCCACAAGGGGGTTCTAAGTCGGTGCCTCTTAACTATAGACCTGTTAGTTTGACCAGCATCATGCTGAAATGCTTGGAAAAGCTTATAAGGAACGGGATCTGTGAGCACTTGACTGAGCACAATCTAATTAGAGCGGAACAGCATGGCTTTCTCAAACAGAAGTCTTGTCTTACCAATTTATTGTGCTTTTTGGACGAGATTACCCGCTGTCTTTATGGTGGGATGTCGGTAGAGGTGTGCTATTTCGACTTCAGTAAAGCCTTTGACTCCGTGAATCATCGATTTTTAATTGAGAAGCTGACATGGTTTGGATTACATCCTCAACTACTACTATGGCTCTCTGAATTCTTACGTGGAATTACATTCAGAGACAGGGTTGGGGAAGCGAGTTCTAGTGTTGGTCATGCCTACAGTGGTGTCCCTCAAGGTTCGGTTCTGGGTCCATTGCTATTTTTTATGTTTTTAAATGACCTGGCTCTCTTCTTGAGGACCCCTGCTACATCTTCGCAGATGACTTGAAGCTGGTCAGTAGGGGAAATCGTGCGACATTGGCTAAGGACATCTTCACTGTGGTGAATTGGTCAAGTCAATGGGACCTACCTCTAAATGTCAACTATTGACTAGTAGTGGTAGCGGAATTGCAGTTCAGTCTCCTGTGGGATTTCTATCATTGCGGTGCACTGACGAAGCCCGTGATCTAGGTGTCATCGTAGCGAACAATTTTAAGCCTTCGGCACAGTGTCGCCATGCTGCCAATAAAGCACGACACGAATTATTTCGTCTTAGAAGGGCGCTGAGTAACACTAAAGCAGAAGTACACTTGCCCTTATATAAAGCAGTGGTCAGGCCACATCTGGAGTATTGCGTTCAAGCCTGGTCACCGTACCTCCGTAGTGACATCACTTGTATAGAAAAGATTCAGAAACTTGCGACCAGGATGATTGAAGGTCAACGAGGGAAGTCTTATGAAGATCGTCTAGGTAGCTTAGGATTATTTTCCCTGGAACGGCGTAGGTTGAGCGGGGATTTGATAGAGACGTTTAAGATCATTAAGGGACTTAGTGGTATTAGTTCCACCCATCTGTTTGAACTGGCTACGTCAGACCATCTGCGCGGGCATCGCCTGAGGCTTAAACATCACAGAGCTCGTTTGGACATCAGGGTAAAGTTTTTTACCAACCGGGTAGTTAACTACTGGAATAAACTCCCTTCTGATTTAGTGGAGTCTGAGACCGTAGAAGCCTTCAAAAGGGGCTTAGACAATTGTTGGTCCATCCTTTTTCCAGAACTATTGTAGTTGTACTTTAATATGTAGTGTATTTTGATGCTGGCATATGAAAGTGCAGAGATTGCTCTTGTAGCGGCTCGGCGAATGCTACACAAGAAAACCGTAGCCCGGTGAGACAGAAGACGGCGGGATATAAAGAATGTCTTGAGAAAATAGCTATGTACAATAGCTATGTGAATATAGCTTGAGGACAATGGGAGAGAGTGGTGAAGCAATGAGTAACACCACGTAGGAACGCAACAGCCGGCAACGCGCGGACAAGATGGCGAACCCGGTTCAAAATTGCAGTCCAGTATATATAGGCTTGGGATGGGTGCAAAGTAAAACAAAATGTGCACAAGTCTGAATGTGATGTTTGATGGGGTAAAATGTCATGGTCACTACACAGGCCTCCCCCTAGAAGGCCGAGGGACGAGGACTTCGATCGCTGTTGGCTTGCAAATGTATAAAGGCAGAATCACAGGAGTTCGGTTGTATTTGGATTATTTAATCTTCTTGTGGATTGGAATGCATCATCGGTGGGCCGTCCCAGCGGGCACACCGGACTACAAAAATACTGGATAATCCAGAAAAAGGGCCGGTAGGACCTTTCACCGCTGCTGAAAGACGGTGCGCTTGGGAGAGGTCACTCCCCCCACCGCATTCCAATCCACTGCCACAACGAAGCTGAAATCCTGTTCGTATTGGCGAGCCGTGGGGGGACCAAAAACAACGAGCCAGGCACACGAGCAGCCAAAGCCAGGAAGGCGAGCCAGACAAACGACCAAGGCGAGCCAAATTGAGCCAAGCAGACCACGATCCAAAGGCCAACGTGGGCGGGCGAGATGACAGCGTTGGGGGTAGACCAAAGCATCCAAACGACCAAAACAATTGAAAAACAGCCAACCATTGAACGGACGGACCCAAACGTGCCAGCCTCATGACTTTATCTGATAGATGGGGAAAAAACTCGGGGACAGATTGCGATATGTACTCTGCTAACGGAAAAGCATAATATAAACGATGAGAGAAAATGAAAAAGATTCATGAGGTATGGATGAGTTCGACAAAATCGGAGAAACGAACAGGTTTACGAACCCTTCTACCGTGACTGGTATTAGTTTGAGGCGAATCTGGTGACTGGGATTGTGGTGGAGCTGAAAAGCTGGGCGTCGTTACAGGTGGCTCTGTAGATTGCGTTAAGGTCGATGATGGAACCAACTGTTGTTCATCGATGAACGCAGGCTTGACGCGATCTATCGAGACAGTATCCCTTTTACCCCCACGGTCAATCACCAAAGTTTTGAAGACCGTTTAATAACACGGTATGGACCTGTGTAAGGTGCGGAGAGAGGCTGTCTCACTTGGTCGACACGTAAGAATACGTGAGAACATGTAGAAAGGTCTTTCGGAACGTGCACTGGAGTGCGTTGTTCCCTGGGTCTCGCGGGATGCAGCTGACGCATGTGGTGCGTCAGACGAGCTATGTAGCTCTTGTAGTTCCATGCCCTCTCCGGAGTTGGGGCGACTAATTGTCCGGGAAGACGCAATGAGCAGCCATAAACGAGTTCGGCCGGAGCAGCGTTAATGTCGGCTTTGACAGTATTTCGTAAGCCAAGTAAGACGGTGGGAAGCGCTTCGTACCAGTCTGCGTTATCATGTGCACATAGTGCAGCTTTCAGCTGGCGGTGAAAACGCTCAACCATGCCGTTGGCGGCAGGGTGGAATGCAGTCGTTTGAACGTGACGGCAGCCGAGGGTCTGAAGAAGGTGAGCAAATGTGCCTGCGAAGTGCGCACCTCGATCAGTTGTCACAATGGCAGGACAACCAAAGTGTGAGACCCAGCGCTCTAGAAAAGCGCGAGCGACAGTGTCTGATGAGCAATCTGGCATTGGGATGGCATCAGGCCATCTTGTAAAGCGGTCTATACAAGTCAGCAAGTAAGCACATCCATTAGATGGGGGCAGTGGCCCAACAAGGTCAACATGGATATGGTGGAAACGGGCATCAGGAAGTGGAAATGAACCAAGCGGACTTTTCGTGTGTCGATGAACTTTAGACTGTTGGCAACTAAGGCACGTACGAGCCCACTGTCTAACGTCCCGGTTGACGTTGCGCCACACGAAGCGTTGTGTGACGAGCTTAACTGTGGCACGAATGCCTGGATGTGATAAACTGTGAAGAATGTCGAACACAGTGCGTCGGAAAGCTTGGGGAACCACTGGTCGTGGTGAATTTTGCGAAACGTCACAAAGTATGGTTCCATCCGAAGTAGGCAGTGGAACTGGTCGTATGCGCAAGGAGCTAGAATTACGAAGCTGATCCAGCTCTGGGTCGGTCTGTTGAGCAGCAGCCATTGCCGTTAGATCGATACCTTCAGCGGACGTGATGGAGCTGACGCGAGAAAGAGCATCAGCGACGGAGTTCTGCACACCCGAGACGTGCTGTATGTCTGACGTAAACTGTGAGACATAGTCCAGGTGGCGTATCTCTCTCGGAGAGTATCGGTCGGATGACGAGTCGAGGGCGTAAACTAAAGGTTTGTGGTCAGTAAAGACGGTAAAGCTTCTGCCCTCTAGAAAAGGACGAAAATGACGGATGGCGAGGTAAACTGCCAGAAGTTCTTTCCCGAAGGTGCTGTAACGTGTCTCCGCTGGCTGCAACCGTTTCGAAAAGAAACCCAAAGGTTGCCAGGTATTGTCGACAGCCTGCTGAAGAACAGCACCAACGGCCTCGTCTGAGGCATCAGTGACGAGCGAAATCGGAGCAGATGGTACGGGATGTGCTAAGAGAGCAGCATTAGCGATTGCGTCTTTAAGGTTTGAGAAGGCTAATCGCGCGGACTTGGTAAAAACAAACGAACGTTGATTGCCCCGAAGCAAGTCAGTCAAGGGCTGCATTATCCTAGCACAACACGGAATAAAGCGTCTATAGTAGTTAACTATCCCAAGGAAACGTTTAAGCTGTTTAAACGATGTAGGTTCAGGGAAATCTTTGATGGCGGTTACCTTTTGAGGCAGTGGTTCAATACCTGTAGCTGAGATGCGGTGACCTAGGAACTCGATCGACGATTTTCCTAGTTCGCACTTGCTAGGGTTCAAGGTAACGCCTCGATCAGATAGGCGTTGGAATAGAATACGCAGATGCTCTAAGTGTTGCGACTTAGAGGCGCTGGCTACCAGGATGTCATCCACGTAAGGATATGCGAAGTCCAGACCACGAGTAACATCATGGATGAACCGCTGGAATGTTTGAGCAGCGTTCCTTAACCCGAAAGGCATTCGAAGGAACTCGAATAAACCAAAGGGTGTTATAACTGCCGTTTTGGGGATATCGCAGTCCTCTACAGGAATCTGGTGATATGCTCGCGTCAGGTCTATCTTACTAAACACTGACTTACCACCGAGACTACTTGTAAGGTCCTGGATGTGCGGTATAGGGTACCTATCTGCAACTGTGCACTTGTTCAGCGCCCTGTAGTCTCCGCAGGGCCGCCAGTCGCCGCCTTTCTTGGGCACCATGTGGAGAGGTGAGGCCCACTGACTTTCGGAAGGACGGATGATACCAAGTTCGAGCATGTGCTCGAATTCGGCCTTAGCGGCTTTTAGCTTATCAGGGGCGAGACGTCGTGGCCGTGCAGAAACCGGTGGGCCACGGGTTCGTATATGGTGCGTAACGCTAGATGCGACCGGAAGAGTAGCGTCAGCTGAGCGGACGAGCTGCGGAAACTGTCTGAACAGATCTAAAAATTCCTTATCAGCTTCAGGCTGAATGTAAATGGGAGTGACAGAAACACAAGGTGTGCGAACTCCACATGTGAAAAGCTGGGTCTTTTGGTCAACGAGTTTGCGATGACGCGCATCGACGAGAAGATCGAAGTGTTGGAGGAAGTCGATACCCAATATAGCAAACGGAACGGCAGCGATGGTGAAAATCCATCGAAAGGGACGTCGTAGTCCGAGGTCAATGGTAAGGGAGCGTTGACCGAAGACTCGAATCGCAGTGCCGTTAGCGGCACGCAAGTTAGTTGTCTGTGGCTTAGTCGCGTCGCCTGGAACCGGTGGGATCACGCTAACTTCCGCCCCGGTATCAACCAGGAACATGATCCCGGTGTTCCTATCAACGATATTGAAGAGGCGACTTGGACGACTTCGGCCGACGGCGTTCGTCGCCAATACGTGTCGGCCTGTCCTTTTTCTCCTTACGGGAAATGAGCATGGTTTTATACAATTTCTAGCGGAACTTCCAAAACGTGCGTGATAACGGCAAATTGGGAGTCGTGTTCGGCTTCGAGATGGGCTAGGAGAACGGGATGGAGAATCCCGTTGGTGCCGATGTAACTTTAAGCTTTGAACTTCTTGCCGTAGCGCGGCTATCTCTGTTAAGAGCTCACCAGTGGAAGGTGGAGTAGTGGTGTCGATGGTCTGGACCGAAGGGTCAACAGTGAAATCTACGTCAGGTGAGCGAAGAGAACTAGACGACGGACACGGTGGTCCGGTGAAGCGATCCATCATATCATCAGCAATATCTGCAACTTCTGACAAAGGCTGCGATTTCGCAAGCGATAGCATAGCTTGTACGTTTTCAGGCAAACGCTGAAGCCATAACTCTCGAAGCAGCGACTCGTCCATATGCAGTCCTTGAAGAAGACCACGCATCTCCAGCAATAGCGCGGATGGCTTACTAGAACCTAGCTGTAGACCAGTAAAAAGTTTATGCAGGCGGGACTTCAATGAGGGAGTAACACGCTTTATTACCGCGTTCTTGAGAGAATTATAGCGGTCAGGAGGACAAGATGTAATAATAAGATCGCGTAGCGCTATAGTAATATCAGTCGGCAGGCGTGTGAGCAAGTGGTTAAACTTTGCAGAATCGCTAGTGACATGCTTAGAAGTAAACTCAGCTTCTAAAATCATGAACCATAAAACGGGATCTTTTTCAATAAATGGTGGAACTACCAGAGATACCGCTTGCACAGACTGTGAGTCCTCACACTTTTTAGAAACTGAGGCCATGATTTGCGTGGAAAAAACCAAAAAAATGGAACGAACTCACCGGAATGCGACTGGGGTCACCAATTATGTAGCGGCTCGACGAATGCTACACAAGAAAACCGTAGCCCGGTGAGACAGAAGACGGCGGGATATAAAGAATGTCTTGAGAAAATAGCTATGTACAATAGCTATGTGAATATAGCTTGAGGACAATGGGAGAGAGTGGTGAAGCAATGAGTAACACCACGTAGGAACGCAACAGCCGGCAACGCGCGGACAAGATGGCGAACCCGGTTCAAAATTGCAGTCCAGTATATATAGGCTTGGGATGGGTGCAAAGTAAAACAAAATGTGCACAAGTCTGAATGTGATGTTTGATGGGGTAAAATGTCATGGTCACTACACTCTTGTTCTTGCTTCATTCCATTGCAGAAGCAAGAAGAGACAATCCAACGTCGAAGTGCCGGGGGTCGCTTCACTTACCGGCACAAGAACTGGACGCGCGTTAGGCGGAAGCCTCTATCGTCCATCTGACGGGACCGACACATCCGCCACTGGCGCGATTTGGAATGCGGGCTGTTGTTCATGAGGACAACCTGTTTTTGCGTTCTGAAAAAGTAAACGTTTTAATGGAGGAATTTCTATCGCAGCTTGTTTGCAAGGTGTACAAAACCTCCAAAAATGCGAAAAAGGTTCTGTACCATGCTTAATTAAAAAGTTGACTAAAACTGTAAAAGTTGAAATATAACATTAAGTAAGGCGTTAAAAAGGAAAAGGAGTGTAAAATACGGTTTATGTAAGTCCTCGACATTTATTTCATAGAAGAGTACACTCGCAGAATGTATTGTTAATGTTGCAAGACATAGGGGAGTCGGCGTTGACTAGCTGGCTTATGGTAGTGTGGATTGATTTCTAGTGCAGCTTGCAATTGGCTTTGGTAACCGTATAATGTATATGATGAAGAGATTCCTCGCTAATGGATAGATAAAGCGGTGTGTATGTGTAATAATGGTAAATGCGGTTTAAAGCTCTCTCTATCTGTCTATTTATATATATATATATGTAATAATATATTTATGTATACCCAAGTATGTATGTAAATATATTGGTACATAAATATCTATATATGGATATGTATACACACATATATATATGTATATATATATACATATATATATATATATTTGTTACAACGATATGTATATACTGATGCGTAATGTGTATAAATATGTATATATATACGTAATAGGAACTGTATATATATATATATATATATATATATATATATATATATATATATATTGCACTGAAAGGCCCATGTGTGTATAAATGCATGGGTTATTGACTACTGTATACAAGATTGATAAGAACGAACGTAACCAAAATGAACGTTATAAAAGGATGCAGTGTTCGTCTCTGTACTAAAGCATGCTGTTTGCATTATACCTGTGACATAGTAGATGGGAAATATATCCCGAATTATAATTGGTATGGTAATCAAGTGATTACATATGGCAAATGGTTATGCGATAAACATTTGCGGTTTATGAATATATGTATGAGTATATGCATCTGTATAGATATATATGTATATATATATATATATATATATATATATATATATATATATATATATATATATATATATATATATACTCCCTTTTTGTTGATTTCACCAAGGCATTTGATACGGTGAACCGCGAGGCACTGTGGCTGGTGTTGGGTAAGTTTGGTTGCCCGCGTAAGTTTGTAAGTTTAATTGAATGTCTGCACAGTGGTATGCGAGCGAGGGTGCAGCTGAGTGGAGAGACCTCTGATGACTTTACAGTTGTCTCTGGTGTGAAGCAAGGCTGTGTCTTAGCTCCTGCCCTGTTTAATATCTATCTTCATGCAATGTTGTCTTGTGCTTTTGATGCGGCTTGTGTTTACGGTGTTCGTGTGGAGCACCGTATTGATGGTGGGTTGCTGAACATCCGTCGTTTCGGTGCGAGAACTCTAGTCTGTGAGACAACTATCCGTATGTTGCTGTTTGCTGACGACTGTGCGTTGTTTTCACACAGCGCGGCTGAGTTGCAGCACATGACTAGTGCTCTGGCCTCGACAGCGGCCAAATTCGGGCTCACCATCAACACAAGCAAAACTGTCTGTCTGTTTCAGCCTTCACCGGAGGTGCAATCTTCAATATTGCCGCAAATCAGCATTGGTGCTGAAGTATTGGAAACCACCTCCCGCTTCTGCTACCTTGGGAGTGTGATGTCGACTGATCAGCAGCTACACATTGAGTTGCGTAATCGCGTGTCGAAGGCGGCAGCGGCATTCGGGAAGCTAGAGTACCGAGTGTGGAACAACCATCAGCTTAGCATTGGCACGAAGCTGATGGTTTACAAATCCATGGTACTGTCCGTTCTTCTATACGGCAGTGAAACGTGGACGATGTACCGTCGGGATGTGCGATATCTCGAGCGGTTCCATCAGCAGTGTGTGCGACGAATTCTGCGGATCGGCTGGGGCGCCAGAGTTGCAGACACGGAAGTGTTGCGCCGAAGTGGGATGTATGCAGTGGACTGCATACTTTTACTGCGACACCTGAGATGGCTCGGTCATGTGAGCCGTATGGATTCGACGCGAATACCGAAACAACTTTTATACGGTCAGCTGAGTATTGGGAAGCGGCATGCTGGGAAACCCAAGTTACGTTACCAGGACATGATTAAAGTGAGCCTCACACGTTCTCATCTTGATTGCAGATCATGGGAATCGAAGGCGGTTGATCGTGGTGCATGGCGCGATCTAATCACGAAGGCAGTTGCTGAGGTGCGGGAGAAAGCCCTCATGCATGCAGAGAAGAAGCGGCAAGTGCGGAAGCGGCAAGCACCGATGAATTGTACTCCATCGACATCGAGCGCATTGTGTTGTAGAACATGCGGTCGCGAGTGCCTTAGTCAGGCAGGCCTAGTGAGCCATGAGAGAGGTCACTCGGGACCACTGCCGAAGCGACGACGGGTCCCGCAGTGAACGTAGGCAGCACCGGCGCAGCGTTTGTAGGCACGCTGAATTCGATTTACTAACCGCATGCTTGCATGCTAAGTCTCTTTATTTCAGGTGGTGGGTTTTCGTTTCTCACCTAATGCCTTTCTTTCTCATATACATGTCTAGTGGGCCATGAGCTGTGCCATCTGGGGACACTACGGAAGCGACGACGGGTCCTGCAGAGAATTACGACGAGCCGGCGCAGCGTTTGTAGGCACGCTGAATCCGATTTACTAACCGCGTGCTTGCATGCTAAGCCTCTTTATTTCAGGTGGTGGGTTTTCGGTTCTCTCCTAATGCCTTTCTTTCTCATATAAATGTCTAGTGGGCCATGAGCTAGGTCCTTTGGGGCCACTACAGAAGCGACGATGGGTCCTGCAGAGAATTACGACGAGCCGGCGCAGCGTTTGTAGGCACGCTGAATCCGATTTACTAACCGCGTGCTTGCATGCTAAGTCTCTTTATTTCAGGTGGTGGGTTTACAGTTTTTACCTTAATGCTTTTCTTTCTTATATAAATATCTCCATGTACTCTATTCCATTAACTTGCACATATCGCTTTAGCCAGTTGTATTCGATTTCCATAAGATTTTTGTGTTCGTGGCATACCGTGAACTATACTTCCTGACTTCGTGCACTTAGCTGGGATGTGTTTGTAAACAACTTATTACGTATGCTATTTAATTAAGGTTTATGTCACCGTTTCCTTATGCATTAATCCAGTTTTTCTCTTTTTCTTTCTCTCTCTCTCAAGTGATTGGCTGTTGTTTGATATCCCCGGTGTGGCTGCGCTTGATGTGCATGTTGACAAGGTGCCTACCTGTCTATTACCCACTACGTCGTTCATACTGGCTCCAGGAGACAGTTGGTCGTTGCTGGAGGGGACGGGGTGCACGGTTCTTGTGGCCGTGTTTGGCTCGAAGAGTGGTTCCATGCACTCAGTATGGAGCGGACTACGGTCCAGCCACCGCCTTGTGTGCGGTTGATTCCCCAACTACAGCGTGCTTGTGTTTGCCTGTGAAGGAGTGTGGGCCGGCTCCGTTGATGAAACGTGGTTCCCATCCGCATGCCTCCCGGTCTTATTCCTTCGGGTTTACACTGGATATGGGGTATGTGGTTGGAGCTGTGGGTGGTGCAGCGCAAGCCATCCATGGTCCCTCTGTAGGCGCAGGCGTCCTGTGGCTTGCCACAGTGACAGGCAAATCCGAAACCGGATGCCGCCAACCATATACATACATCCATACAAGTCTTTAAAAGTCGCAAATGTATATCGCATAACCAATTGCGATATATACATATACATATAAATGGGATGATCTATTGGTTCGCATTTACCTTTGGTAAGTGCTATGGTCTTTAATCACGCAAGGGAAAAGGAGTTCGCATGACTTGATGGTATGTGATTGCGAAATCCGGGAATTTCTGAGCGTAATAGGTTCTATGCAAGAAAGTGGGTTCAAGGGGCAGTGGGTATGGAGCAATGAATATGGCGTCCTTAAGGGTGACTTACTTAATCGATGGTGTTATGGAAAGGGGGGAAATGTACATCTGAAAACCTACCAGCAAAAGCTACGTGATTTCTACGTCAGTGGGTGTAATAACTTGAACAGTATAGTCGGTTTAGTTAACACTAATGATATATACGGCTATGCTTTAGTGTCTTGGATAGCGAGGTAACACAACGTAATACATGTGATGTTAATCTGCGGCGCAAGCTGTTGCCCACATAATGCTGACGTATTTGCATGGCTACATCAATAAATGAACATATCTAAATGGTATATTCTGGAAGTGGTCGTGACATGGTACTGAAGTAGGCAATCCCTTGTTAAGGTGGTGTTTGATTATATGACAAGTGCGCGGACGGGACGCTCAAACCATATGCAAATATTCTCGTGTAAGTGGGGAGCGTTCGGAACGCTCATCACCCACGAAGCGAGAATACTGTAAAATGGTTCATCAAATATCGTTACAGTAGGAGGGGATGGGTCATGAAGGTGAGCCTTGCTAAGTGTCGGAGCTCTAAAGAAGCAGAATGTAGCAATAATGGACGGATGCAACCACATGCTGCAGGTTGAAATTGGCTGCGAAAGGTTAACTTACCGGTTTGTTTGAGCAGGACGATTTTGTTAGCATGCGTCGCGGGGTTGCGAACACGTGTCCAGGTATGAATGCCCCCATACGTGATCTGAAGATTACGGAGCCACCCACGGAACCTGTGAGCTTGTAGTCCGCCGCAAGGAGATAGCGGTAGTTCGCATACTTCCAATGGGCTGTGGGACGGCAAGACACGGATTCAGGGGGTGGCCCTGAAAAGGGCCGTTGCTCCGTTCTCCAATGAATGGTAGTGGTGTGGTAACTGGAAGGCGAGGGAAGACTGGACAAGATGCTATGATGGGATACGTCTGATGCACGTACATAACATGAAATCTAAAAGATAAATGAGGATGGACAAGGAATGTAACCTGCGGCGGCGGTTTATGGTGTTATCACACGGCGCCAGCGGTACTTGAGAGGAGTGTCTGTGGCAGTGAGAGGTTACAAGGCGGTCGGCGGCAGATATCATTGTCTCTGAAGTAGAGGTGAGCATACCAAATATTTCTTACCGGTAAATACGTATCAATGCAACATCACATGGCGGCGGCGGTACGTGACGGGAGGCTCTGTGCTAGTTAGAGGAAACAAGGGGCTGCGCTGCAGATGTCAGTGGCTCTGAAATGGAGGTGAGCATTGAAAATCTATGTTACCTGTAACTTCATATCAATGCGAGATCACATGGCGCGGCAGTACGTGACAGGAGGCTCTGTGCTGGTGAGAGGAAACAACGGGCTGGGCGGCAGATGTCAGTTGCTGTAAAATAGAGGTGAGCCTTGAAATTCTTTGTTACCTGTAACTACGTGTCAATGCAGCATCACATGGCGGCGGCGGTACGTGACGGGAGGCTCTGTGCCAGTTAGAGGAAACAAGGGGCTGCGCTGCAGATGTCAGTGGCTCTGAAATGGAGGTGAGCATTGAAAATCTATGTTACCTGTAACTTCATATCAATGCGAGATAACATGGCGCGGCAGTACGTGACAGGAGGCTCTGTGCTGGTGAGAGGGAACAACGGGCTGGGCGGCAGATGTCAGTTGCTGTAAAATAGAAATGAGCCTTGAAATTCTATGTTACCTGTAACTTCATATCAATGCGAGATCACATGGCGGCGGCGGTACGTGACGGGAGGCTCTGTGCTGGTGAGAGGAAATAACGGGCTGGGCGGCAGATGTCAGTGGCTCTGAAATAGAGGTGAGCATTGAAAATCTATGTTACCTGTAACTTCATATCAATGCGAGATCACATGGCGCGGCAGTACGTGACAGGAGGCTCTGTGCTGGTAAGAGGAAACAACGGGCTGGGCGGCGGATGTCAGTTGCTGTAAAATAGAAGTGAGCATTGAAAATCTATGTTACCTGTAACTACGTATCAATGCGAGGAAGCGATGCTTTGGGCGAAAGATGTAAATGGCTCCGAAATGGAGGTTAGCATAGGAAATCTATGTTACCTGTGACTACTTATCAAGGCGATATGATGTGGTGGCGGCAGTACCTGACAGTAGCCTCTGTGTTCGTGAGAGGAAGCGATGCGTTGGGCGCCAGATGTCAGTGGCTCTGAATTTGAGCTGGCTAGCCGAACAACCTCCTCGTGGTGCCAGCTGGGTGGTTCGGGTTTAACCCGTTCCAGCTAATAGTTCGGCGGCAGTGTTCCAGGACGTGGTGGGTTTTCGCCTGGCAAGCGTTCTCTCTATAAAAAGCCACAAATGTCTGCTTAACAACACTGTGACGTGGCGGTCATGGCTCGCCACAAACTAAAGTCACTGCCCATTGGATATCTGGATAATCCTTTCCAACCCACGGACACCAATCTTCTACTCGCACATTGCTGACGATAGCAAACATTCAAGAATGGAGCAGCACAGTTACGAGCGCAAATTACACAGCTACATAAACGCACACACAATTACATACTTACATTCCCCCTGCACAAACAAGCACTGTTATGGCAAACATATCGGATTTTTGCAAATTCTTGATCACGCATTGTTTTGTCAAAATGATCATGCCTGTAAAGGTGTGCCTCGCCTTGTCGAGAATAAAAGTTTTATTTATTTATTTATTTATTAAAAGGGGAGGGGTGAGCTTTGAAAATCATGTTACCGCTGATAACATCATAACGAATGCGAGATACATGATGTGATGGCTGCGGTATGCGGGGCGTGATGTGGGGGCGGGGGGTCGTGCGGGCGCGTCGGCGGCGCGCGGCAGTTATACGGGGTGACAGGAGGGGCTCTGTCTGAGTGCAGTGGGTGGAGATTTAGGCGTGCAATAAAAAAAAAAAAGACGGGCTAGGGTTGTGTGAGGCGGCAGAATGTGTCAGTTGCTGTAAAATAAGAGGTGAGGAGTAAGTGAGTGAAGAGGTCGGTGGTTGGGGTAGTTGTGGGTGGTTGGGTGGTTGGGTGTGGGTGTAGGAGGGGTGTCGTTTGTGGGGGGGGTGGGGGGTGGGTCGTCGTGGGGGGGGTATGGGGGTGGTGGGGTGAGTGGTTGGGGGTGAGGTCGTTGTTGGCGTGGGTGGTGTGGTCGTTGACGGGGTGGGGTTGTGCGTGTGGGGTGGGAGGCGGCTTCGTTGGGGGGGGGGGGGTGTGTGGTGCTGAGTGGGTGGGGGGTGTGGTGGTAGGGGGGGGGGGTTGTTGGTGCGGACCGGTTGGGTGGTTGGTGGGTGGGTGGGGGGTGCGGGGGTGGGTGTTGGTGGGGTGTTGGGTGGTGGTGGTCGTGGTGTGTGTGTGGTGGTGGGTGGCGGGGTGGAGGGGGGTGTGTGGGTGGTTGAGTGTGTGTGAGTGGGTGTGATGGTGGGTGGGATGGGATGTTGGGTGTGGGGGGGATGGAGGTGGGGCTGGGTGGTGGGTGAAGTGTGGGGTGGGGCGTGTGAAGTGGTATGCGTGTGTAGTCGGCGTGTTGGGTGCGATGGGTGGGCGGTGGGCGGTGTGTTGCGTTGATGGAAGTGTGTGCTCGGTGGAGTTGTGGGTTGGGCGGTGGTTGGGTCGTGGTGGGGGTGGAAGGGTGACGGGGTGTGAGCGTGTAGGCGGTGGTGTGCTGAGGTGTGGCGAGTGGGATTGTGCTGTGTTTGTTTTGGCGTGGTGAGTGGGGTTGTTGGTGTGGAGGAGGCGTGGGACGTGATTGGGTCGTGGTAGAGGTGGTCGGGTGTGGTAGGTGGCGGGGTGGGATCGGCCGTGTGTGAGTGTTGCGAGAGGGGGAGAGGCGGGGGAGCATGGGTGCAGGTGGGTGTGGTTGTAGCGGGGTTGGTGGTGGTGGTGTGGGTGGGCTGAGGTGTAGTGAATGGGGGATGGGGGCATGTGGTGTCGGTGGCAGAGGGTGGTGAGGGGGGAGTGTGGATAGGTGGGTAGGGTTGTGCGTGGTGGTGGTGGGTGGTGGTAGGGGGATGGGTAGGGTCGGTTGGCGTGGTGGTTGGGTGGGTGGGTAATGCTGAGATCACATGGCGCGGCAGTACGTGACAGGAGGCTCTGTGCTGGTGAGAGGAAACAACGGGCTGGGCGGCAGATGGTCAATTGCTGTAAAATTAGGAGGTGAGCCTTGAAATTCTATGTTACCTAGTAACTACGTATCAATGCAGCATGACATGGGGGCGGCAGGTATTTTGGAGGACGGCTCCAGTGGACAGTGGCACGAAGCCAAGGCGCTCGGCGGCTAGCAGAGATATCAGTGGCTCTAAAAAAATAGAGAGTATATAGCATAACCAAATATTTCTTACCGGTAACTACTTAATCATGCCGAACAACACATGGCGGCGGCGTAGGTGACATGGAGCGCGCTTGTGCTGGTGAGGAGGAAACAACGGGCTGGGCTGAGCAATGTCAGTGGCTCCTGAAATAGAATGTGAGGCATTGAAAATGTATGTTACACGCTGTTGTAACTTACATATACAAATGCGAGAGTCCACATGGCGCGCGATGCGTTGGGCGCCAGAATAGGCAGTGGCTCGAATTTTTGAGCTTAGCATAGGAGAGTTCTATGATCTGTTACCTGCTAAGCCGTATCAATGCGACCAAGTCGGTGTGGGCGATAGCGGGCGATAGTACCTTGACAGCAGGCTCTGTGGTCGGTGAGAGGAAAGCGATCTCGTGATGGTGCGTCCAGATGTCAATGGCTCGAAATGGGGTTAGCGGGTTGAAGAGCGCATGAGTATGCGATCGCCTGTTATATTACGAATCCATGCTGCAATGCAATCGGCGGCGCTCTAGAACCGTGAAAAGGCAACGGCCGGTGCGTTTTGGCGAGTCCTGAAAGGTAGCGATTACGGAAACACATGTACCCATAGCCAGTCCAGCTCATAGCCACACTGTGATGCCACGTAGCAGCGTTAATGAGTGATGAATGTGCGCAAGCAAGGGAAGTTGGAGAGAAAGGTGATGTCTCAGTGCTAAGCAAGCCCACACGTTGGGCCGGCGCGTGTACGTTTTTCCCTTAAGATCCTTGAGTTCGCTCAGATCGCTCCTCAGGTTACCGGGCCCTTGCTTGTGCGCTGTGGCCATAATGACAAATGAGATTGGAATGGAATAGTATCACTTGCAATTGTCCCTTGAATCGTGATCACAGGTATAGTTTTTGAGGTCCACCATTCATCCGACTCCATATCATGGCACCGAGCAGTGCACGGAAACACTCGCACCTCTATGATTGGACTATCGATCACCAAACACCCGGACAAGCTGAGTTCCAAAGCGCCGAAACGACAGACAGCGAGCGAGACATGATTGAATCGCCTGAGGCTTGGTTTAACAGGTGCAATCGCTTGACTTACCACGTCTCGGGCAACACAGGCGCAAGACGAGCAACCGTTGCGGCAGCCGTGCTATCGGGCTAAAGTACCAGTCGGCGTACCGCCTTCTTGTAAGACGGATCGCAATAGTAAATCTAGTCGAACCCTTCAGTGTAATTAACCATCACATCCTCATCATACACGTTAGCTTTCAGTGTGAGAGAGCACCGTCGTGCAAGTGTGCCTGGCTACACATGAAAAATGTAGAAAAGAAGCAAAGCGGTGGGCAAGCCTGTCGAGGCTGATCTACCGTAACGGATGGGCAAGTTACCTCGTAAGCTACCAGCAGACTTGCTGTGGCACCCACAAAGAATCACTATGCTAAAGTAATAACATGAGATAGGATGACTCATACAGCAATACGCCATAACAGCGTTGCACTCTGGACAACTCTGGGAACTACGCTGCCCCGCTTAGGAGTTCTCCACCCCAGATACATCTAGGTGTCCGTTCATACAGAGTACCTCGTCTTTGCTTGCTGGTGGACAACTGGAAAGAGAAGGCCTCTGGTAGGGTTTCAGAATGTTATCGAGTTTAAATACGCCGTTTTCTTGCTATCGGGAGTCCTTCACACACCGACATGATTTTGCTGACAGACCTCGTATATCTCAGCTCTTCTTCCGTCTTCGGCGAGGCCCACCATCTGCAATCAGAGGGGCTTGCAGTCCAGCTTGGCGCGCCTGCCGTTCTTCTGGGAGCTAAATCGAGGGAGCGATATGAGAGGGAGGGACTTTGAAGAGTAGATACCGAAATTGGGTTGAGGGGATTCTCTTACTTGGAGGGCAACTCGTACCTCCGAGACGTCTACATAGCTATGAGTATGTATTACAATTGGCAACTACCTGACTAAGAGCTTGAGGAGACCTAAAATCCTTACTTACAATGCATTTTAAACAGGGAAAATCGGGGAGGCCGGACTGTGCGCTGGCTGTTTAGCCCTAGCTAGGGTATAGGCCTTAGATCAACTTTCGCATCAACCACACCTATCAAGCACAATCATGTCAGCGGTTACGATCCGGCGACAACGACAACGGCGCCGCTTTCAACCGCCGCACATCACTCCCGACACAACCCTCCTACATCACGCCCCCCGACCCCCCCTTCCTTCCCAGTTGTCATCACCAAGAATCGCAACCCACGCCGGACGAGAGCCCGCAACGAGCGACAAATGACTTCTCGACGCGCGCGTTACAAACCCAACAACCCCAAAACGGATTGCAAAATTCCGTCAGGTGATGGGGCCAATGATGCCGCTGCTTCCATTCCAGAAGTAACATGTACAAGCTTTGCCAAGTGAAATATGAGAAAAAACACACATGTAGTCCACGAATCTCCGTCACATACACCGTATCAGATTCTGCTGCAAGAGAAGCATCCGGTGGAATGGAATCAGCCGCAGTCAGCTTCGGACGGTGAACTTCTGCAGCAGTTTTAAGCACCGGCGTTTATACACAACTTCACTCAGCTACATACAAACCTTCCGTTCTATAAATCACAGCTGCGCGGCGTTGAAATTGGAACAACAACAAGGTACGATGATTAACACTCCAGGCCAAACGTTGC